CCAAAAAAAAACCATTGATTATGCATGATGGTGTTTGTATTTTTGTCAACGGCATGAAAAAAAAAAATAACAGTTTAGATTCTGCGCACGCATAGTCCGTGAAGGAAAGGATTCTTAAAGCTTAGTGCAGTATCGACGTTTTCCTTGGCGAGTCTCCAAGAAAATTAATTCATTAGGAAAATTTCGTGTTTTAGGAAGTTAATGTAATTACACTATGTCACCCCTCCTTTCCTTCTTTATCTCTGTCTTTCTTTCTTTCTTTCTTCTCTCTCTCTCTCTCTCTCTCTCTCTCCTCTCTCTCCTCTCTCTCCTCTCTCTCCTCTCTCTCCTTCTCTCCCTCTCCTCCCTCCCTCCCTCCCTCCCTCCCTCCCTCTCTCCCTCTCTCCCTCTCTCCCTCTCCCTCTCTCCCTCTCTCCCTCCCTCCCTCTCTCCCTCTCTCTCTCCCTCTCTCTCTCCCTCTCTCTCTCCCTCTCTCCCTCCCTTCCCTCCCTCTCTCCCTCCCTCTTTCCCTCCCTCTTTCCCTCCCTCTCTCCCTCCCCCTCTCTCTCTCTCTCCTCTCTCTCTCTCCCTCTCTCCCTCTCTCTCTCCCTCTCTCTCTCCCTCCCTCTCTCCCTCCCTCTCTCCCTCCCTCTCTCCCTCCCTCTCCTTCTCTCCCTCTCTCTCTCCCCTCCCTCCTTCTCTCCCTCCCTCTCTTCCTCCCTCTGCATCATACAGTAAATCTGTGTGTATGTATGAATATATGTATGTATCTATGGATATATGTATGTACGTCTGTCTGTGTCTGCTGTCTGTCTGCTTGTCTGTACGTATGTCTGTCTGTATGTGTATGTGTATGTATGTGTGTGCGCATGTACGTGTGTATGTATGTATGCATGTATATATGTATGTACGTATGTATGTATGTATATATGCATGTACGTACGTACGTATGTACGTACGTATGTACGTACCTATTTACGCATATATGTGGTGTAAATACAACATCACGGACAAGGAAAGCCCGACCAATAAACAGGTTCGTCGACCGCCCATGCACGCCCACCTTCCCGTCTCACTTATGGAATATCAATGGCTTTTGTGAAGTCCAATTTTGTCGATTATTCTCCCTGTCCTTTTCCTATTTTCTCTTTTCTTTTCTCTTCCTCCTTTTGCAGTACATTATAGAAATGGCTTGCACGTAAGGTAAATGACTTATTTTATATTACTAATATTTCATATCGATTTTTTTTAAAGATATACACACGGCTTATATGTGAAGTCTTTATAATCTTTTAAATCTTTTAAGTACATGACTTCGAAATTAATTTTCGAGAGGATCATAATCATTAATATATTTAAATAAATTGCTTGCTATTCATTTACTTTGTAATCGCCGAGAGTCTGTAAATTATATTTCAAGATATGCTTTTTAAAAACAGAAATACCTCATGGCAAACGTTCGAAATTATTACGCAAAAAAGTCATTAAAATTCTAAGATGGGATGACGAGCACAGACTAAAATCCCTGCATGATACTCACTCCTTAACAAAGCAAAACAAAAAAAAAATTAACTCACACTATCTACCAAAACCCTTTCTTTTTAAATTATAAACACCCATAATCAAACAACACAATCAACCCAGCATCAAAAATAAAATAGGAAAGAGATCGCATAAACAAAACATATATTAAGCACGTGTCTACCTTGCCTTCCTCTCCCTCCCTCCCTCCCCCCTTGGCAGCTATCGTACACCTGGCAGCCGAGAAATGATGGCGGTGCAGGTGACTTAGTAAATGAGGAAGCGAGACTCTCCAGCGCCTCCCTCTTCTATTCTGGGATTATTCTGGGTTCCATCTTTGACTCTTCCCTATATACCCCTTAGTCACTTCCCCTCTCGCTCGCTTTCTCTCTCTCTCTCTCTCTGTCCCTCTCTCTCTCTCTTGTCTCTCTCTGTCTTTGTCTGTCAGTTCTCTCTCTCTCTCTCTCTCTCTCTCTCTCTCTCTCTCTCTCTCTCTCTCTCTCTATCTATCTATCTATCTATCTGTCTGTCTTTTACACAACAACGTTATATAAAAAACCTGCGACCATATTTTCTTCATTTTCTATTTTTTCCTCGTTTTCCTCAATGAGAGAGACAGACAGAGAAAAAAAGAGATAAAGAAAGAGAGAAAGAGACAGACAGAGACAGAGAGACAGACAGAGAAAAAGAAAAGATAGACAGAGAGAGGAAAATGGTAAGAAAGAGAGAGAGAGAGAGACAGAGACAGAAACTTTTTGGCAATCTACTTATAAATATCCGAACTCCTACTCTCGGCTAAAACTGTGTACTTAGCTCCCCTTCTCACTGGTTCGCCAACTGTCACACTTTCTCAACGTGCAATATGACCTTTGCAATAAAAATAACACTTTTGCAACGTGTGAAGCAGTAACCACGTGGTTTGGTAAGTTAGGAAGGAAGCGTGGGCCAGATTGTCAAATACCTTAATTATTATTAAGCTTTCTTTGATCTGTGTTACGTC